ATGGGTTACTTTCAGAAGCAGAAAGTATTTTTTGGATTTCTGTTTCCACATTTCCTATGGATGCTAACAGTTAACTAGCATATCTTGTTTTCTTTGACAGTATTGTTGTGAGCTCTTTGGAAAAGAATAAAGTAAATGTAGTGTTTTTCCTCTCATACATGCAGTATGCTTTGGCAGATGTCACTATTCTGGGTATGTACCACATATGCAAAGCACATAAATGCAAAGAGAAAGACTTCAGGGCAATCTGTCTCAAAATGAACAAGAGTATTGAGCATCTGATATACATTAAAAGCTCATATGCTTTACTTAAGATGTAAGGATTAGTGTTGAACGGAGCTGTGTAACAGAAGATTTAAGTATTGGGGAACCTTCTTGGAGTCCGTGTTAGCCACTGTGGCGATCAGTCTGGATTGGGGCCTTTGATTACTATGGTGCTGTGAATTAGTGTTGCATACAATGGTGTAAATAAGTAACAGCATACACAGAAAGGGTGATGTATTCTGTGTTTTTTCTCAATGAGTTCCTGTTTTGATCATTTCCTTCTGCTTTTATAGTCTCTCCCTTCCCTTTGTGTTCTCCTTTTTGAGACTACATGAGAAACCTGAGGCAGAAAAAGCGCTCTTCCCCCCCCCCCCAAAAAAAAAAAAAAAATCACGTACCTAATGTAAACTCCCCCTTTCATCAAAGGGCCATGGTCTTCTCTTAACTGACAGAGTGCCTTTGGTTAAATATACTGATATACACAAGACCGGGAAAGAGCCGTGCCTGTCACTGTGATGTTCTAATTCTGAAGATGTAGGGAGTGTACACTCATAAAATAATGAAGCTGTTAGGAGTTTATGCTTTGGAATAATGATGCTCTACTAATTCCACCCCCCTGCCCCCCTTCATGTTTTCTTCTTAGTTTTGGTAATGTAGCTCGCTGTCAGTCACTAGTGATCAAACAGTGGTCAATTCTCTGTCCATCTGGCTGTAGACTATATGAAATGCTCTTGTATCTCTATCAACATTGCATGTTACATAGATGTTTTATGACCCATAAGGAATTACCTCATATATTTCCATGCACCTAGCCAGTCTCTTGTTTAAGCTTCCAGGGGAAATGTAGACCCCTTAGAACTGCAGGAGTACACATCTGTGTTCTTTAAAATAAGTTTCCTTTTTTAACAAAACATTACCTTTTCATTGTCAAATACTTTGTATATTTCAAAGTAACTGTGAGATGAGTGACATTACCTCTGTTTCCTTTGTGACCGACTGTCAAAAAGGGGTTAGGTAAAATTTTTGTGGAATTTTAGCTCAGGGTGAACCTTCTTTTGAACTCCTCTCTTATTTCTGTGTAGTGCTTTAAATGAATAATAGCTTTAACAAGTATTTGCAAATGGAGGCAGAAAAAATTGGTTTATTCTCATATATATCTGAGTGACTGCGTTTTTCCAAACATTCTGCACCACTTGACCCTTTCATCACAGTCATAGTCAGATTATTCTGATACGCCTTTTTAAAGAACCAAATTAACAAGCCATGTGAAAAAAGTAAGATTCCAACACAGTATTAGACTGTTCACACAGTGGTATGATATACCTATGTCACCTGTTTATAAGAATCTGTGAATTATTTCTTCAGTCTTATTGCATTTGAAAAACATCTAGAGGAATAAAACATTTTTTTAGTTATAAGAGATGCTGATTTCCTTATGTTAATAGTAGCTCTCAACTGTTTGTTCTTCACTAAAGGTGAAAATAAAGACAAGGAAGACCTTTTCCATTCCAATTTCTTAATGAATAGAAATGGGGAGGAAATTGTCTTCTCATGAAGGCTTACTTGCATGTCCTTTTCTATTGCACATATTGTAATAAATGTGGCACTTAAATCCAGGTTAAGACCAGCTGTCTTTACAAATCTGAAATAAAAGGATATGTTCTGCAAGTGCATCCAGCAGTTAGTAGAGTACTAATAGCTGTTAGGTTCCAAGCAAAGCTGGTAACTAAACCTTCTAGCATATCTTGTTCGAGATGTAGTATATTCCCCTGTTTTAAACACAGTCTCCTGTATTAGTGTGAATAGATCCATTAAAATACCTTTTATCTCCATGCTTTTAGCTTTTCTGTCCTCATGAAATCAGGTAGCTGCTCTCTGTAAAAAGCCTTTAAAGAGCTTCTCATGTCTGATCTGATAAAAAGCATCTTACCATCATGAATCAGCCAGATGAATAACTGTTCAGCTGTGGTAATTTTCTCTTGGTAAACATTATTCAGTTTGTGGGATGTATTGGGTAAAACTTGAAAGGAGGGGAGAGATTGTAGCAAGTGGATGGTGTCAGACTTGACTCTTTAGGATCCATTAGAATTTTACCTTTTGACCTGAATGATAGCAGAGTTAGACCGACACTGGACAGATTTGTCTGCGTTTTCATCTTCATTGAGTAGTAGACTTGGACTCTGTTTGTGTGTTTCAAGGTGTGGCTCTCTGTAACCTCTCTAGCACAGGGATCACAGGACATGAGTTTGGTTGTGGAATGTAAATATTATTTTGGCTAGCAGAATTTTCTTTTTACCACTGGCTCTTAATGTTACTTTAGTTCAGACTGCGTTCTGCCAAAGGGAGAGAGCACTTCCAAGGAACCTCATTTTTCACCCTGTGATTCTTGCCTTTTTCTTTAGTGCTTGCAGTGTATGATTATAGAAACACAATATCCTGACAGCGCTAAGGAGGCCAGGGAGAAGATTACGTTTTTGCATAATCACATATTGTCACTACCATAAGTAAAAGTGACAATGCAAAGTTCAAATTCCCTCTTGTGCATATAATGTGTTGAATTTCATCTTTTCTCTCTCCTTACATGTCCTTAAGTTTTTTGTCCTTGAATTCTGTGGCTCAGGGGCCATAAGGTACATCATCAACTCTGACAGAATGGAGTGGAGGGAGATGAGTTTCATGGCCATCCATGCCTCCTAGCTACTCTTGGCTGACACAAAAAACAGATGAACCATAGGCTGTCACACAAATATAGAGCAGATCCTACGGCCTTGCTTTCTGCATCTGTCACTGGTCCTGTGCTGAGCTTGACAGTTTCCTAATTCTGATTGTCAGCTTGTGGCGTTGTACAACCGAACATTCTTATTAGAAAAATCATTGCAGTACAGTGTTGGCAGAAGCAAACTGAGTCAATGGTATAGCAGCTGACCGGGAAATTACCAGATTACCATTAATCACTTTTATTTACAAGCAAGAAGTAATAAAGCATTCTGTGTGACTGCTCACTTTGTCTTTGGGGAAGACAGATGGGTAATTAGGTGTGTGTGTGTGTGTGTTTGTGTAAATTTAACAAGCAAGACCAAATGAAGATGGCTATATGGGATGTGGCTGAATGCAGTCAGATCTTTGGGTGAAAAGATTAGTGAACATCTATAGAATGGGAGACTGTATCCTGGAAAGTAGGGACTCTATGTAGGTATTAGAGATCTTACTAAGTATAGACGTTCATTTAAGTTCTCCGTGCAGTGTTGCAGGGAGAGGATAAAGGGCTAATTTAATCTTTGGCTAACAAGATGAATAAAGGATTTTTTTTTCTTTGCAAAACATTAATTAAGAGTAATACAGAATTTCTGTGTGTCGTTCTGGTGTTCATGTCTTTTTAAAAGATACTTGAGAATCTGGAAGAGGTGCAGAAAAGAGCCACAAAATTATGAAAGTGCTGAAAAAATGCCTGATAGTGACTTAAGTGGAAGGGATGGGGCATGAGCGGCTTCTTATTTTTATGCATTTGTTTTATTATTTATTTGCAATTATTGGTTCTTTGTCCAGGTAATTTTAGGACAGACTGCATCTCATCCAAAGACAGATGTCTAAAATAGGTCAAGATGGATTGCTCTGAGATATCCATCTCCGAGACAGGTTACTTTGTTGGTGATGGAGAGCAATGCCATGAGTTGATCTGAGGCGGGCAGCTAGCTCTTAATAGCTAGTGAAAGACGATCAGGAGAAAACAGACTGAGAAGGTTCTTGAAGTTATAGAGGAGGAGTTAGTTTAGTTTTGTGTGTCATTTCCCTCCCCCTAGCCTTTGAATTAGATAGCAGAAAAGGATTTAAAGGGCAAAGTGGTGAGCTGGGGAGATGATCATTGCTTATGTCCTTTCAGAAATGGTTTTCAAAGTGAAATGGTATTGGTTGAAGCCCAAGAAAAGGAATAAAATTTTGAGTGCCTGGGTGAGCATTTTAGCTGTCTGACTGCATAAAATGTAGGCTTTTCCTGTGTATATTATGCATGTTCTTTCTGCATGACTTGGACACAAAGTTCTAGCTGAATATAATGAAAAAATTGCAGGCTGGGTGACTAGCAGGATGCTAGTTAAAACTTTCCTGTGATGATCTTTCTTGATTATGTGGGAGGGGAGGTGAGAGGTTTTGTCTTAAGCTATACAGAGCTTGACCTGGCAGCTAGGTATCTCCAAGGCAATGTCAGAGAGGAGAACTGACATTTTCTGTTTGGGTAAGGAGAGACCTGCCTGGAATAGGGAGGTAAATCCATGAGATCTCCCTATAGAGAAGGTAATTGAGTTCTTGTGGCTGGAAGAAATTGCCCAGGAACAAACGGGAAACGAGATGAACACTGCTGGCAAAAGGGAAATGTTTCGTCAGGTTCTTTCCTGCCTCTGAAAGATAGAAGTGGGAGAAATAGGGTACCAGGACAGTTATACTGATGGAGTGGTTAGTGAAGCAGTGAACGAGGTGCCAACAGGGGCAAGGTTTTAAGAGGAAGAGCTAAGTCGGGGGGCAGCTGAGTCAAAATTGATTAATTGCAATAGCTGAGAGTATTGGGTAGTGTTTTGTGTGAATGAAGAAAAAGAGCTGTTTTAACAAAAAAAAAAAAAACCAACCAAACAAAAAAAACCCAAACAGAATCTGAGGCCGAATTGGAGGAAATAAGTCTTATATGCAGCTCTAACCAGGAATTAAAAACCCTCAACAGGATGTAAGGTGCCTGAGGACTAGTTTAGCAGTGCTTTCCTGAAGAGAAAATATCTTGTACTAACTTTTTTTTTTCTTTTAGAGAAAGAGGCATAACTAGAACCACTGACTAAAGTTGAAGTAATTTTAGGTGAAGAGAAGGTAAACATCTGTAGATAGCCCAACTGATAAATCACCCTCACCCCTGTTAGGGAAAGCGGTGGATCTCTTCATGGATCCAGATCAAGGCAGGTCATTTGTCTGGGTGGTGTTTGTTAGCCTTATACAAGGTATTCCCCTTGCTTTCAGGGTACCTGGGAAATAGTAGTAATCTGTGGAATTTGGATTAACAAGCCAACATGTCTAATGTCCCTTCTGACCCTAAACACCATGAAACCATTTTCCTATTTTGTAAGCAGAAATACTGTAGCAAACAACTTTGTTTGTGGCCTTCCTCCTCTCAATTGTCCCGAGAATGTGGGAAGGGGGCAGTTACACAGTATTGTCAGACTTCCTAATTCTTAAGCAGGATTTTTGGCAAAGAAGCAAGTGGGAAGATAAAGTTAAAGTGGGGAGAGCATGCAAGAAGAGGGAGAAAGTAAACCTCTTTTTGATGACATAATTGTTAGTTGAATAGCCTATCAGTAGCTCTAAGATTTTACAGCACGTATGTCTGAGCTTGTTCAAGGAAAGCTTGTCAGAGCTTTCAGGCCACACAATTCCTTTATCTACTGATGTTTTCTTTTCCAGAGTATGGTAGATATTTTTTCCATATCATACGTCCTTCTATGTGGAAATCGAAGCGTGGAAGATGAGAATGTTGCAGAAAAAAGGTGGTCATTTTTAGAATGTGTTTCGAAGGTTAGTTCACAGCTTTATCATCACAAATATTTTTAAATGGAATGTTGTTTGCACCTTGCGATGAAATTAAGGAAGGCCAGGATCTTGTGTGTTTAGATATAAACTGATTCCAAAGCTGTGGGAGTGTTTTGTTTTTAAGATTTGCTAATAAGCAGTGGTTTTGATTTTAAAAAATTACGTATTCAGTTCGGACATATGAGTTTTGTGAGTATTCATTGGAAAGGAACTGAGCCAATGATTTCTCCCTCAGAAATAACACTGTTGGATAAATCTGAAAATGGTAAATAGCTTGAAATGAAAGTAGGAATCATGCCAATTGCTGTATTCTGAATTCCTCCTCTTCCCTGGCATCTGATCGTATTTATTAAAATGCTCTGCCTACGGACTGATTTTGCACAAAGTTGTGGGCTTTGCGTATATGTTGTCCTGGTACGATTTCTGGAATTGCTGCGCTAAGTGCGTGGAAAGTTGCCTTAGTTCATTGTAGTTTTTGTGTACATAAGTCTCCAAATCTAGTTCTGGGTGCATTTTGTGATATTTGCTAATAAGCAGTGGTTTTGATTTTAAAAAATTACGTATTCAGTTCGGACATATGAGTTTTGTGAGTATTCATTGGAAAGGAACTGAGCCAATGATTTCTCCCTCAGAAATAACACTGTTGGATAAATCTGAAAATGGTAAATAGCTTGAAATGAAAGTAGGAATCATGCCAATTGCTGTATTCTGAATTCCTCCTCTTCCCTGGCATCTGATCGTATTTATTAAAATGCTCTGCCTACGGACTGATTTTGCACAAAGTTGTGGGCTTTGCGTATATGTTGTCCTGGTACGATTTCTGGAATTGCTGCGCTAAGTGCGTGGAAAGTTGCCTTAGTTCATTGTAGTTTTTGTGTACATAAGTCTCCAAATCTAGTTCTGGGTGCATTTTGTGATCCTTCAGAATATCTTTTGTCAAAGTTATGAATCATGAGGACTACAGCTATGTAAGATGTTAATAAAATATTTTCTTCCTTCAGATTTAGAAACCCACTGCAGTAAAAAACTTCTTCTGTGTAGTGGCATTAATCTTCCTAAACTAATACATATATATGCTGAGACAGTAAGTGCAGACAGTAGAACGGGCTAAGAGGTGAATTTTGGATTGTAGTGCTAAGATAGCTTGTGCTGACAACACTACTTTAAAAGCTTATTGACAGACTAGGACTGTTAGGTTCAGTTTTATGCAGTCAATCTAAATGTAATTTGACTCTTATTTTTATTTTTCAGCCTTTTATAACTGTACCTGGAGCCAAATTCCTAGACTGGTTGGTGCTTTCTCATGAGATCCCTGTGACTGACAAAGACGACATTGTTGTGCTGAGCATTTGCGTTAACTGTCCTGACATTTGGCCTGAGCACAGACAGATATAGTTGCTAATGTAGCCACGCTTTCAAAGGACTTTTATGCCAAGAGGAGCTGGAAAAAGTGCTTAAGAGATGGATTTTAGAGTCTTTGAAATTGCCGTTGTGTGTTCCCTGTTAAAAATCAAAATCGCATAGTCCAAGTTACTCCAGAGGAGGGAGTTTGTTAAAGTTTGTTTTTCATTATGGAGCTCCAAAATGAAAAGGATTAGTTCGTTTACCAACTAAATGTAAGAAAACAACAAAATCTGCATTCTGATTAACTTCCTAGCAAAGCCCAGGGCACAGAAAGAGAAATTTGTTTTGGTGTAGTCCTGTAACTTTCTGAATTACAGTTGTACAAGTACTGCTTAACATGGGTTCATTAGGCCTTTATTTATATATCTACCTCTGTAGAAGAGCCTGCTTGGCTTTGTATATGTTCCTTGGTTTAATAGTTTAATGTTCCACAACACTATATCTCAAGTTCTAAGCAGCAGTAAATCCATACACCAGATAAGGAAGTGAGATGATAAAGTGATTTCCTTTTCATGGTAGCTACAGATCTGTATGTATGCTGTAGCAAATTGTTGATTTATATATAATAAAATGATAAATGCATTTCCAATCAGTCAAAACCATCATGGAACACATGTGGTTTCCTTTGACTTCTAAAAGATAGTAAAAATACTACTTAAATAATGAAAGTGTATCTGTTTTTCTGTATTTATTATTGGGAAAAGATCATCCTGTAAATGTGACTAGAGATAAAAGGACTGCATTATGCTTACCCTAACAGATGGCTATATGAAGGAAGTTAATGACACTTCTAGAGTCTCCAATTGCCCAAGCTTGTGATTTACTACTGGTGGCTTTTTCACTTTCCCAATCAATGCCACTTCTGCGTGCATGAATCACAGAATCACAGAATCGTTTAGGTTGGAAGGGACCTCTGGAGATCATCTAGTCCAACCTCCCTGCTCAAGCAGGGTCACCTAGAGCATATTGCCCAGGATCACATCCAGGCGGGTTTTGAATGTCTGCAGCGAAGGAGACTCCACCACCTCTCTGGGCAGCCTGTTCCAATGCTCAGTCACCCTCACAGTGAAGAAGTTTTTTCTCAGGTTCAGGTGGAACTGCCTGTGGTTCAGTTTCTGCCCATTGCCTCTTGTCCTGTCCCTGGGCACCACGGAGAAGAGGCTGAGGCCCAGCGCTCGCAGCCTTTCCTCATAGGAGAGATGCTCCAGCCCTCTAATCATCTTGGTAGCCCTCCGCTGGACTCTCTCCAGGAGTGCCATGTCTCTCTTGTACTGGGGAGCCCAGAACTGGACCCAGTACTCCAGGGGAGGCCTCCCCAGGGCTGAGTAGAGGGCATCTTCTGAAAATAGTATTGAAAAGGTGTATACTTATTAGAGTGGTGGATTCCCTCCTCCCCCTCCCCTCCCCCCCTTTGAAACTCATGTTGTTGGCTTAATCCTCAAAAAAGTGTAGTGATGTTATTGCTTGACTCTTCCTGAGCAAGGAAAGAACCTACTGTGGAAAAAAAACTAGTTGTTTTCCTTGTTTACCTATCAAGTTTTTGTATAACAAGCTGGATGTTCAGCTTGGAGAACTAGTTGGTAGGGCAAGTGAAACATGACTTAGTGTGA